GTGACGGGGAACAGTGTAATGAGTAATTGAATGTATGCGGACAGAATATTATTGGCCACGTGAGACGTGAGTTATAGCGTTTGTTATAGAGTGACTGTTGAAATTAAGTGGATCATAAAGTTCTATTCGGAAAGAATAAACCAGTTTTATTTAAGAAAGGACTTGTGTCGCTAAAGTTTAGTCGGAAATAATTTATGGAAAATTAACTAACGAATGGAGACGTAACAAACTGGTGTCAGAGAGTGGGATAAAAAAAAATGGAAACGAGAAGCGACAAATCAAACTACAGCCTAGTAGACATAATGGCAGCAATACAAGAACAGCAAAAGAAACAAGAAGAACGAGAAAATAAACAAGAAAAGAAACAAGAGAACGAGAGAATAAACAAGAAAAGAAACAAGAAGAGGGACTACAGCAGTTGCAAGAAAACTTGCAACAGTAACAGCTCGAACAGCAAAATAAACAAGAAGAGAGATTACAATAGCTATTGGAGGAGAAAGAAAATAAACAAGAAGAGAAATGACAGCAGCTGTTGGAGGAAAAAGAAAAGAAACAAGAAGAGGGACTACAGCAGTGGCAACTGGAACAAGAAAGGAAACAAGAAGTACAAACAGAAAACATTAGTAAATTTAAAAGTGAATTAGATGCGTTAAAGGACAATTTATTGTCTTTTACACAAGGAGGATACATTAACCATCGACTTAATCAGCCCCAGACAATAGCAAGCACCTTCCAGACCCCGCAGCTAAACCCTAATGCAGACATATTCAGTCCCGTTAGAAACCACTTCCCAGATATGAATGTCAGTACTAGGAGATCCAGTACGAAGGAAGCCACAGGAATACGATGGGAGAGCACCGTGGGAAGCATATAGAGCACAATTTGAGCTACTGGCAGAGATGAATGGATGGACAGAGGAGTAGAAAGCAGTATATCTGGCAACGAGCTTGAAGGGACAACCACTGGAAATACTTGGACAGTTGTCAGCAGCCAACAGACACAACTATAGAGCACTGGAAGCGGCTCTAGAACTCAGGTACGGAACCCAAAATCAGTCAGAAGTCTACAGGGCTAGATTTAGGATGATAGTCCGTGCTAAAGGGGAGAGCCTGCAATAGCTGGCACAGGACTTTGGAAAGCATGGCACACAAGGCCTACCCAACTGCACCACCCGATCTCCTCAAGTTGTTGCTGAGGGATCAGTTCGTAGATGCCTTGGACAGGCCACAACTTAAGATACAAGTGAAGCAAGCACACCCCTCTACCATGCAGGATGCAATGGCTAGAGCTCTTGAATTTGAATCCTACGTTAAGTCCAGCACAGAGGTACCAAGGTTGGTACAGTCATGTGGATTCAAGGCCAGAAAAGGTCAGCTTCCAGAGAAGTTTGAGGGACTTTGCTGGCACTGTAACAGACCTGGGCACAAGAGAGCTCAATGCTGGAAACTTCAGCACAGGGGAGGTTATACAGCAGGAAAGGCTGCTACCCAG